ACAATACAAGGCTTGAATTGAATCCCACATGATCAGATGATGGTGTGTGTTGGGTTTTGATTTGACACAATACAAGAAGCAATATTGGTCTGCCCCTGCTTTGAATCCCCATTGGCTCTCAAATCCCATAAATAAATAAAAAAATAAAATTGTGTTTTTGTTGTGGCACACAGCTGTCATGGAGGACAATTGCTCCCTCCGAGCACACACGATCTAGGAAAATGTTTGGCTTCTTACCAGTCAGGACCTATTTTGTTTTAACCAGAATATTTGACAATTAAGAGAGAAAAATACCTAAGTAGAGCTGTCAATTTTTTAATAGTGGTAAGGATAGGATAGGTTCTGACGGGTAAGAAGCTATATATTTTCCCACAATCTATAAAAAAAAATCTTAGATGATGGTGTCTACACACCCGTCAATAAAAGTTCCTATTAACTCTACAATTTTGAGCCAATAGAAATAGAAAGTCAAGTTGCCTCCTTATGCTCATCCTCTTGGCCCTTCTTGTTCCTCTTGTTTCCTCAATTGTCTTTCTTTGCCTTTCATGGTGTTCCTCTTTGTCAACTCTTTTTCTTTTTTTTGTTTTTCAAATTTGATATTAATTCCTAGACATTTTTTAAAATGTGATATCTAGAAAATTTCATTATTATATATATGTCTGACACACAAAGAATCATAATGTTGTCACAAGAATTGTAGTTGGTTTGTGTTTCTTTTATCTTTAGCACAATCATATACCTCTAGAATTCTATTCCCCATTTTTTTCATACTTTATTTGATACATTTCTATGGTTTGTATACTTGCAAACTCTAACTGTGAGTTCTAAAAAGATGGTCTATTCAATGCATCTTTTAGTTTGTGAATTTCTAAATCCTACCTTTTTGTTCGCCATTAGTTTTAACTAAAGCGATACACGTGAATAGGATATTACATTTCTGTCGACATGTCGATATTTTCAAATGTACATGGATTTGACATAGGCGTGAGGACTGTATATTGACACTTCTTTAGTCTTGAAAAAAAAATCAATAAAATATTACTAATATGAGTATAATATTAATATTAATTATTGGGTTTGCAAAGAAAATGCAAACAAAGTCACACATTGGCTAAGGAAGAGCATAGAATGATCGATGATATATAGATTAGGACAATTATCTCTATTAGTATGAGGTGTTTTGGATGAAACTGAAAGCAAAGTCATGACGCGGTTATCTCCAAAACGGACAATATCAATATTCGACTGACATTGATATTTTGTTGATATTTCGACCATCTACATTTCTGCAACATCGACATTTAAAAGCGTGCATGTGACACGCATTGAACAAGTCGTCCCCTTTGTGTTAGAATCTATCAATTCGAAGACACATACTTTTTAAGTTTAACCAAGAGAGTTTTCTTTTAATTAGTATTTTGGAAGCAAGAGGTTGGTGCTCTAAATCACATTATTTTAATATAGATACGTATAATTTATAAAATTGACAAATAAGTAAGTGTGTGACTTAATATAAGGTTAGTACTGAAAAAAAAATTATAAAAGACTGCGGTATTGATAAATGATTAAATTAATTTATTGTAATTATTCATCCACTCAATCTTTTGGGTTGATATATGATTTAACATATAATTATCTTAAATAATTAATTATATCGAGTAATAATCTTTTTTTCTCTTTTAGTTCAACATGTGAGATGGAGAGTGAGAATTTGAATTTTCGACATTTTAATCGATGATATGAACTATATTGATCATTTTGACGAATGATAATCTTCTTAGCTCATAAATTGATTGATGTAACAATGAACTAATTAATAAACTCTACTGTCAATGATTTGTAAATTGATTGATGTACAATGAACTAATTAATAAACTAGACAAATTGATCGATGGACAAAAATATATAATAAGAAGTGTTAATTTGATACTGGTGGAGTTGATTGTTCCTCTCAAAAACGAAGATTTGAAGT